GGAGTGGTGCCTCGGTGCGCACCCGGGATCCGAACCCGGGCCGCCGGCAGCGGAGAGCACGCACTTAACCGCTAAGCCACGGGGCCGGCCCAGGAAATTCTTGACTGTAAGCAAAGATAGTAATAATGGAAAGTAGGAGAAGAAGGCAAACTAATCTCTAATACTCTGAAAAGAAAAGGCGGGGCAAACAGGGTTTTGACCCCGACCAAGATGGTGCCACTTAGGACTTAGAGAGCACTGTGCTAGTTCTAAGCTGTGGACCTTGGGAATCTTCTTTGTCTTGTTTAGGAAGTTTAGGGGAAAGAGAAGTAGAGGAAAGGGAAAGTGCCAATCTTACTGCCAGGGCTAAAGTGGCTTGTGATCCAAAAGTGGGACCTGGAAGACATTTTCTTTTAGAAACTTTGATGTGATCGTTTGGTGGCAGTCCCTCCTTGCTATGTGACCTTGGGTAAATTGCTTAATTTTTCTGTGATTTCGTTTTCTCACATGTGCAACGGGGATAATAGTATCTAGCTTTTAGAGGGAGGGGTGTTGTGAGGATTAAACAAGATAATATATGTGAAGCACTTAGAACAGTGCCTAGCACATAGTGAGCACAGTAAGCACTATACAGTATCATAATACCATCAATTCTCCTGACTATATGAATGTAAATTATGGATAAATTGGCATATGTGTGCTGGCCTGGGAACCAAAGTCCACTATATAAGATTGGGTCTGTCTGAAAATACATTTCTGTCCAAGTTCAGAACTGATTTACAAATAAACTTCTGAAACGTAATATGCCCATTAGTATGTTGGCAGTTATCTCCATATGGGAAAAGATAATAATGAGGAGCATTAGTGTTTCTCAAGGAAATAGGGGGAACATCTCCTTGCCTTTTATCCTCTGCTTCCCTTACTCCCCATCCTCTTTGTAGAGGGAGCATCTGTTTGAAAATAAAAAAGTACTTGGTTTTCCTTTTTATAAAATTTTGGTTTATAATATTTACTTACTTTCAAAATTCTTAGAGAAATATTGCCCTAAAGATTTTTCATTAGACTTTTTTGATATAAATACCATTTAAATGGTAACAATAATAAATTATAATACTTTGTCCTTTGTCTTTCATTGATATTTTTGCGTTGCTAAGAATTTTGTTCTCCTGTTTTGTTTCTTAGATTGATTTTGTGGAACTTCTTTTTATTTCAGGATGTCCAATTTTTTGGCTTTTAGTCAGCTTGTTAAACAGATTGCCTTATCATTTTGTGATCCATTTTGCCCTCTTGTTTCAGAAACCAAATCCATTAACAAAAATACAGTTGTGATAACCATGGAAAATGCTACCCCGTACCTCAGATTCCAAGCAGTGGAGTGGGCGTTTCCCTCACACATGACTCTCTGCTTTTCTTCCCGGAGTATAAGGAGAGAGCCTTGTCCCCAAAAAGCAAAAACTACCGCCTATCATTTTGTAGTTTTTAAGTTTAATTTTTTTAGGCCTTGAAGACTTTTTTATTTTCAACAGAGCGTTAAGAAGTCCTCCTAAGATCACTAACAGTCTTATTAGGGAGTAAGGAAAGCCATTTTAGGACAAGAACAGGAAAAGGGGTAACTGCAAAGGGACTTGGTGGAGAAGGAAAAGAATTCACTTAAAAGAGGTAGCTACCAGGTGTGGGAAGAAGGGTACCAGAATTCTGGAAGGAAATTCCTCTCCACTACTGGTTTGCTCTGACTAGGCTATTCAGAAATCTCTTAAGTGCTACAACCTTTGACTCATTGCCTTAAAAATGTGTGTTCAACTTAATATGGTGACTGATAAACATCAATGTACAACAACAATTTCACAATAAAAAAAAAAAAATGTGTGTTCAAGATGGGTGTGTTTTATCTGTAATATTTTGCCCCCTTTAACATGAATCAGAGATGTCTAGGTGACCAGGTGTTATAATGTGCCAATTCAGAGGTTCTCTTCCAATTTAATGAAGTAGAGACAGTTTTTTCTTTCTTTCTGTGTGTATATTTCTAGAGTGTTTAAATTTTTTTTTAAATAGTTGTTCTTCAAGTAATATTTTTAAAAATATTTTTTATTTTAAACATTTATATTATTAAAATTTTAGAAGCCAGGAGATGAAAAAATGATCTTAATACTGTAGAGGTGGGTCCCTTTTTTCCACTTTTATATTATTTAATGCTGCGGTGAATATATTTGTACTTGTGCCTTTTTCACAGTTAAAGAAAAATATTTTGAATAAATACTTGCATTAGAATAAATTCCCAGAAATGGTATTACTTGGTCAAAACTGTTTTATGGCTCTTTATAAATACATATTGCCAAAACACTTTCCAGAAGGGTTGTGATGGTATATTTTGTAACCAGCAGTATAGCACAGATCCAGTTTATCTGTGCAATCTCCATTAATGGCTGTAAGATTTAAAAAATTTCATGTTCTTAAATGAAAAATTGTGCATTGTTTTACTTGTTACCAAAGTTAAATATTTTTCTTTATTTGTATATTTTTAATATCTTTTTCAGTAATCTCTGAAGTGTCTGTTTTCTGGTTTCTATTGAATTTTCATATATAGGCAATGTAACGAAACCTGGAATTGATGCTAGTAGCTTGTTAGTTTTAATTTTCCATGTTTACATTTTCAGAAGAAAATTTGATATCACCTAATTTGAAAAGTATTAACCAATTATAGAATTTATATGGACATATTACTTTATAGTTGTATCTCATATGCTATAATTCTAAAGGTCCTGGAAATATTAAGTTTTTCCTGATGATTTTTTTCCAGATTGAAGAAGGTATTGTTGTAATGGAAGATGATTCGCCAGTGGAAGCTGTGAGCACACCTAATACTCCTCGAAACCTTGCTGCATGGAAAATTAGCATTCCGTATGTAGACTTTTTTGAAGATCCCTCCTCTGAAAGGAAGGAGAAAAAGGAGAGAATACCTGTGTTTTGTATTGATGTTGAAAGAAATGATAGAAGAGCAGGTAGGAAGCTTTATGCATACCTTTATGAAAAGATGCCCATTAGTCTGTATTTATTAGGAATGATAAACATTTTGTTATTTCTAACTATTGAATAAGACTGCATATCCAAAAGATCTGTCCAGAATAGAAAATTGAATGAAAGCTTAGGATTTTCTAGGTTATCTCTATTATTAGTTAACTGATTAATTTGTTCAACCAACACTTATTGAGTAGATGCCTGCCAGACACCTGACAGTCCAGCAAGGCATTTTATATAATGTTCTTTTAATGGTTTTGCTGCCACCATCATTAGCCATTATACTTAACTGACTATTATTAATGCATATAGCACTATATCAGGTATTATACCAATTTAATTAAGACAGCATTTCTCCTCCTCCATTGTTGTGGACTAATTAGAATTGATAAAAATATGATCAAACACACCTTTACAAGTTTTCTTCATGTTTTGCTATCTTTTTTTCTCTTGGTTGTTTCAGGTGTGGACTGTTATAAAGACAGGGGGTATATAGCATCCATAGCGAGATAAACAGTCACCACCCTGGGCTGTGTCCAAGGGATGGGCAGTTGGTGGAAGCAAAAGCACATCAGAGTTGTGCACATTTTGAAAATGATGAGCAGAAAAATAAAGTTGAGCTCATGAAGAGGGAGCTATCTGTGAGGAAGGAAGGAAAAAAAGTGGCAGTGTTAGAAACTGGTTTCCAGAGAGGAGTGGCTAAGTGAGAGTGGGAAGGTCAGTGCTAATAATTCCCCTTATTTGTTTTTCAGAAAGTACTAGGTTTTTTGATTTTTCTCAGAAGCTGATACATACAGCATAGGAATGGGGAAGGGAGAATGCTCAGAGTAGCTAGCTGTGATTTTCCTGTTGTAGCCGGGTACCAGGCAGCGTCTTGTTCTGGCCAGTTCTGAGTCAGTGCTGTGTGATTTTGCTGTACTTGCTCCATCAGTCCTACTAGTTGCTCTTTTATCTCAGCACTTTTAATAGGTGTACAAACTATTGTCGTCGATATCATAGTCTGATTTCAGTTTCAAACAGTTTGCATCTTTTGTCTGCTGTTTCTACGGATTGGCATTTTAAGTGTTGGAAAGAATTGAAAAGAAAGATCTTAGTTAGCTGCTGGTTTCAATTCCTTCCTGTGCCTAGTACTTAAAATCTGGCTCTTCTCACACTGTTTTTGTTTCTCAGGAAATTATTTAAAACTTCTGACTATTTGGATATAAATCCTTACCAAGATAAATAAATTTATGTGAGCATGTAGTAACTTTTGTCTTCTTTTGAAAGATTTATGTATGATATACTTTTAAATCTTTTGAGAATATACTTTTGTTTTTGCCTTTTGGACAACCATCTTTAATTTTTGTGCTTTATTTTAAAAAGTTTGACAATAATTTAACCATAAAATTAAAACCAAAAAATCTTAAAACTTGTGTTCTAAGGATAATTTTTGTCAGCAGCGCTGCAGACTTTTACTGTCAATGTAACATGCAATGTAATATGCTCTTAGGAAGCCATAGCCTATGAGGGAAGAAGAGTATCATTTAAATACTACATTGATTTTATATATGTAGCAAAATAGTGATTTCAGAATTTAAAAACCCAAACCAAATATAATATAGAACTTTTAAGACCAATGTTGAAGAAGAAAAATAGGATTTGCTTTATAGGTTGTGACTATATCAGGTTGGTTTTGTGTGAATACAGGTATTCTTTTGGACTTGTTTTGGTTTTAGTTGACTTAATCCATTGCTTTCCAAATCTATGCTAGAATGAGATGCTAATAATAGCAGTTAACGTTTTTATGGTGCTTACTCTGTGCTATGCACTATACAAAAGTGCTTTAGGTGGATTATTTTATATAATAGGTAAAATTATTTTTATTCTAAGCAAACTAAAGCCCTGTGAGGTTAAGTTATTTGTTCAAGTCCACATAGTTAGTAGTGGGGGAACTGGGACTGGAGCAGGCAGTCTGACCCAACTCATTCTTTAGACCATGACTTTGTGCTGTCCATTTTGGTAGCCACTAAGCCACATGTGGCGATTAAAATTAAATTATATTCAAATTTCAGTTCCTTATTTACACTAGTCACATTTCAAGTGATCAGTAGCAATATGTGGCTAATAGCTATCATATTAGTGCAGGTAATATAGAATGTTTTCAGAATTGTAGAAAGTTCTATTGGATAGCGCTATTCTATACTGTATTAGATCAGGACGATTGGTAAGTATTTGAGAGACCCAAAATTAATTACAGATTTTTATGATATACATCATTTTTGTGACATTTAAAAAATAACCATAATTGCATAGTTTTTTGAAGTTTCTGTCAGCTCCATAATTCTGTAGAATAATGTATAAATTATTGAGATAACTTCATAAATAGGTGAAGTTTATCAATCTAAGTAATTTAAAATTAAAATATGGAATAAAATATGTTAATAATGTGATGCCAAGAAGTAATCATTAAGACTGGAATAATTTCCAGCTTTGTATTACTTAATATTTTAAATACTGCATCCTTTTAGAAGTTTGTAAAATTATTTATTACTCAGTATGTATTCATTTAATTTACAGTTGGGCATGAGCCTGAACATTGGTCTGTCTATAGAAGATATCTTGAATTCTATGTACTTGAATCAAAACTAACAGAATTTCATGGTATGTTGTCCTTTTTGTATAAAACATTACATTTCAGCATTAGCCTTCTTAAAAGCTATTGAACTAGATTACTTTTTTGATTTAGAGTATTGTACCAAGGAAATGTAACAGTGACACTTGTGTACCCTGCTATTGATAATAGAAACATACTCTTTTTATGTTATTTCTGCCTATTTATATTTTTTAAGTTTTTACAGTACACATTTATTGCTTTTTAAATAATAATATTAAAATTTAAAAGATAGCTTTTCTTTAACTATATTTTAGAAAAGGTTCTCTTTCCAATTTAATTTTTGTTTTATCTTGATGAGGCAGAGAATTTAAACCAGGCATTTCAGAGTTGCTCTGTTGCTTTACTATCATCTTCCTTGGTAAATGCGTTTGCTATGCATCACGGTGAATGTTTTGATTTGGCTCTTAGATTTAAATATGGAAACAAAACTTGTGGTTGAATGTTTCTTTTGAGGGTAGGTCAATCAGAAAAGGGGAGCACTTTTCCTTTAAAGGTCTTCCTCTCACCTTTCAGTCTCTCTTATCTGTCCGTTTATTTTAGTTAATATCAAGGATATAGTTATAAAGTATTTCCAGTCATTTTATACATAGATTGGTGATTTTGATTTGTGTATTCTGAATCTTTTTATTTTTGAAAAGCTTTGTGGCATGTCCCCTGATCCAAATTCAGGTTGTTTCTGAATTGAGAAGGGCAAGGAGGCTTCTTTACTCTGCCTATAAGAGCAAAGCCCATGATAAAAAGATTATAGGAAGATAAAAAATACAGGGTCCCACTCCATACTTTTTGCCTAGATTTTGAGTTTGTACTTGTCTTTAAATGATTTTCCCTTTGTCTCTGCCAGTGTGGTACAATGCCATCCTTGTCTTGTTCTTTCTCTGAGAACTTTTCCTTTCTGTTTAGAGTTGAAAGAAGATCATTATCTCCATACTTTAAAATCTTGTATCAACCAAAGTTGGCTGGATTCTCAACAACATTTTTCCTTTTTGGTGCTAAAATTTCTGAAGTCAACCCTATCTGAAAAAGCGTGTCCATGGTTTTTAAATTTTGCTTTTAAGCTTGTCTAGCATTGGCAAAATGCTGTCTTTTTTCCCACAAGAGAGTAGGTATTTCTTTAGTAAGATTTTGTCTAATAGAATCTCACCAGTTTCGGAATAATCTCATGATAAATTTTTGAAGCTTTTTTTACCAGTATAGAAGTCTAAATAAATCTGTGTCAGTGAAGAGTGGTGATATTTGGATATCATTAGACTCAACTTCTTCGGTCTGGACTTCTGACTTGAAGCTCTTTGATTTTGTCAAGATTATTTAAAGGATAATGCTACATGTCTACAAGGCAGCATTGTGAATCTGAATTTGCCGTAGTAAATTATATATTAGATTTTTAAAATAGTAGTGGACTATAGTAATAACTCTCATATATATTAATTTCAGGCACATTTCCTGATGCCCAGCTTCCTTCTAAAAGGATCATTGGCCCCAAAAATTATGAATTCTTAAAGTCGAAGAGAGAAGAGTTTCAGGAATATCTACAGGTATAGCACCAACTTAATTTTAAAGCATTGCTAATCATAGCATTCTCTAATTTGTCTTTTTCTCTTGTATGTATGTGCTTTGCCTTACAAATACTCGTCAATGTGGATTTCTAAAATTCTTTTGTTTAAAAATTTTTTTCCATGTGGAAATTATTGTCAAGAATATACTTTTTTAAAATTGATAACCAATGAAATACCAGATATTTTCTTAGAGGAAAAAAAGTCTTGTGTTGGGCTAACCTAAGCCTAACTTTTGGTGTGGGAAGTTAAAGAAAGAAAAACTTTAGGTGTAAAAGATTAAATGCATTCTAAGAATACTAGATAGTTTTTGTTATTTTTGTCTTATTTTTTGTTTGATTTTATGTTTAACACTTTCTGAATTTTGGAATGTTCCCTCCTGTTTGTTCCTCAGTTCTTTTTTCTTTCTTTCTTTTTTTTTTTTGGTGAGGGAGATTGGCCCTGAGCTAACATCTGTTGCCAATCTTCCTCTTTTTGCTTGAGGAAGATTGCCACCGAGCTAACATCTGTGCCAGTCTTCTTCCATTTTGTATGTGGGATGCCACCACAGCACGGCTTGATGAGCGGTATATTGGTCCCTGCTCGGGATCCAAACCAGCAAACCCTGGGCTGCCGAAGCAGAGCGCGTGAAGATGCCCCCAGGCTGGCCCCTCAGTCCTTTTTCTTTTGCAATTTTTAGATGTTTTTCCAATTTCTTGGGATCTCCTGACTCTCTGCCACTCGCCACATGGAATTGAATTCCATTTTTCTCAGCATGTGTGTGTTGTGTTGTGTAAACAATGTAATTAGTATATTATTTCCATTGTTGGTACAATCAGCTTAAAAGTTACTTATTTGAGACTTCTCTAAAATTAATGATCATCTTTCTTTAATCAAGTACTTAAGACCAAAGAGTGGATGCTTTTATTTAAAAAAAAAAATCTCTTTTATTTGGGCATGGAATTTTGTAGTTTTTATTAAGTGTTAATTCATTTAAATTTGGATGCCTCCTAGCCAAAAATAAGTACTTTTTAAATTAAGTGTATTGAGCAGTGTAAAAAGGGTATTTACATTTTATTTCCTGTATTTTGAACTGTCTGTCGGATAATTCAACTCAAAGTATTTTTTATATAATTTTTTGGTGGTGTGAAAATTGAAACATGAAATAACTATTACCTACTGCAAGGATATTTGAACACAGAATATACTGGTGTTAACCTGTGTCTTTGTTGATGCATTAACCCATTATTAGAACCGACTAATTCTTTCTAAGAAGAGTACCTCATTCTAAAAGAAATATTTTCTGGTCACGTGGAGTTAGAGGTTGCAGTACTGGTATTTTGTTTATACAGATTTCTGCTCATAAAGTTTTGTAACTGTTTCATAGTTAAAAAACTGAATATTAGGTAAGACTAAGTTACTTTTGGCTTTAAAAAGTCAGTTTATCTTGTAAGAAAATAGTGTTCTAAGAAGAACAGACAGCAGATTGTCCATGTTATTTCACGTTTCCACATTTAGTTTTCTGCAGAACCCTTTATGCCAACTTTTTGTAATTATCAAGAAAGTTGTATGATATTATAATACTTGTTTTATAGTTGAGAAACTGAGAAATAATATTAGCTAATGTTTAATCTTCCTTCCTGTGTATCAGGTACTGTGCTAAATGCTTATTTGTATAACAACAGTATAAAGTAGGTAGTGTTGTCTTCATTTTACTCGTGAGGACACTGACTCTTAGGCAATTTGGAAACTTTCCTAGGGACACCTAGCTAGCAAGTGGAAGAGGCAGAATTCACGCCCATTCGTGCTTGACTGCAGAGGCTGGTGTCTTACCTGTTATGCGATACTGTTCTTTCTGTGAATGTAGTTTTGTTATTCTGAATATAAAATAGCTTTTCAGGATTTAAAGTTGTTTTCTTGATTTAATACAGTTTTAATCACCCTTCTAGAGTTTTAAACTGTTTTTTCCTTTTTTCTTTTTTTGTGCATTCAAGAAACTTCTGCAGCATCCAGAACTGAGTAATAGTCAACTTCTGGCAGATTTTCTCTCCCCCAATGGTGGGGAAACACAATTTCTTGATAAGATACTACCAGATGTAAATCTTGGTAAGTCAATTTAAAGAATCATGTATAAGAGGATAAACTGAAAAGAAAAGAATCAGCATTTTCAGATTAATTTAGAAAAATAGTTTATATAGTGAAGCCATGTGTCAAACTCTAAAGGACTTCTTGTACACGGTTAGTAGGAATATAAATTGGAAAACACTTGGAGAAACAGTTTGGTATAAAACTGAATGACCCAGCAGTTCTTCTCTGAGATATATACTCTAGAGAATCTTGCATTCATATTTAAGAATTTTCATAGCAGCATTGTTTATAATAGCCAAAGCTGGAAATAATATAGATATTCATCAGCAATAGAATTGATAGATAAATTGGGGTAAATTCATAAGATGCATACCTATGGCAGTGAATACCTATAGCATATAGCTACTTGCAGCAATGTCGATAATCCTAAAAACACGATGTTAAATGAAAGAAGCAAGACGAAAGACTATGTATAGCATGATTCCTTTACATTTAATACAGACCAAGCTAAGCTGGAAAAGTTTGAATAAAATTGTTAAAGATAATAATAGAAGAAAAGCAATATTTCTAAATATATTTTATATAAGGTAATTTTAAGTATATGTAGAACTGAATGAATGAAGTAAGTATTACAAGTGGACATTTGGTTTTTATCTGAATCTCTCCAAATTAATAGATTTAGTTGAGCCAAAATATTTGGTGTGTGTGGGGAGGTCTTCTTATCAGGGGAAAATGTGAGGGCACTTTATATTCAGTTATATATGGTGTTTAGGAGATAGAATTGGGTAGACTTGGTTACTGACTAGGACTGACTGACAGAGAAGAAATGATCAGAGATGACCCAGGTTTCTATCTAAACAACTGGATGAATGCTGTTACTTGCTGAGACAAGGGAATAAATTAAGAGCAGTTCTGAACTGAGTTTGTAGAATCTGGTTGAAGAAGTTTTACAAGGCAGCAGAGGCCAGGAGACAGGCAAGGAGTGGAGATTTGAGTGTTATTTGAAATCAGATTGAGCAAATAATTTGGCTCAGGAAGAGCATGTAGAAGAGAGAAAAGCACAGGATGAAACTCTGTAATCTAAGGAACCTGGGAAATTCTAAGGAGGGAGGAATAGTTTATGCGGGTACCAAAAGAGAAATAGCGTGGTGGAAGGGTTGGGTGGTTTGCATGTCATAAAACAATCTCTATTTTTATCTTTTATTCTTAATTCTCCTGCTACTTCTATGTCTACTTTTTTCTAAGTTGAACTGAAAGAAAGTTAAGTTATATTTATCGATTTTGACTAATTTTGCAGTCTTTTCTAAATACTTGAGAAAATCTCAGGATGTTTGATGTGTTATAATAAGGGAACCTGGAGATAAGAAGAAGAAGAAATTTTGGCAAATATATTCTTAATCTAAAATTCAGAATGTAAACTAAAAAGTAGCCAACTTAAATGTTGTAGCAATTCTTAAAACTTTTTTTCTTTTGAGTAAATTTTGCATACTTTTAGATATCTTTGTATTTTCACCATTGTTTAAAAACATTTCTTATGGATAATTTCAAATATACACAAAAGTAGAGAAATTTGTGTAATGAACTTCTCACTCTCTTTTAACAGTTATCAACACTTGGCTTCTTTCATCACTTCCCCCACCTCCTACCCCACTAGATTATTTTAAAGTATATCCCCAATGTTGAATCTATAAATAGTTAAGAATACCATATATATTGTAAATTTCTGTTGTGTGAGATGGTCAATTATAAATATTGTTTACTATTTTACTTTTTACTTGGCTGTTTAGTATTTAAAATTACCTAATGATGTATTAATATGAGCAATTATGAGGTATGTTATGCCTTCATAAAATTAATATTTTACTTTTAATTGCAGGGAAAATTATAAAGTCTGTTCCTGGAAAACTAATAAAAGAGGTGAATAACTGATTTATGTGTATTCTATAACATGATAGTTATAAGCATATTTAAATATCAATGAATTTTAATGGATTATATGATACTAAAAATCATAATCTTGATTTTCAATTTTCATACCATGGTCTGTCACAACAGAAAGGTCAACATTTGGAACCTTTCATCATGAATTTCATTAATTCTTGTGAATCTCCAAAGCCTAAGCCAAGTAAACCGGAACTGACCATTCTCAGCCCTACTTCAGAAAACAACAAGAAGGTACTGTGCATCCCCTTAAAGAGCCTTTAAGTTTGAAGTTGTCCTACTTGAGATGACTTTTCCATTATAGGGAGAATCCTATATTAATGAAATGGATGAGACTCTGTATTTCCTTTATATGGAAAGTGGTAGTACAGTGTAAAGAGGGTACTGTATCTAGTTGCTGGGTTTTTTGCTTTAATGGGGTAAATGTTTCTTTAGATGTTGATTTGCAAACATCTACCATTTCTGTATTTGCGGATTTTTTTAAGTGGTTTTAGGCTGTAAATCACCAACTTCCAATAATCAAGGAGTTAATTGCTATAATATATTTATGTTTATTTGATGGTATTACCTAATTTTAATGGCTAATAAAATGTTTCATCCATTCATTAAACAAGTATCTCATTGTATGCCTACCATTGAGTGCTAGGCACCGGGAATATAAAGATATGTTCCCTGTCTGCAAGAAGCTCAGTTTAGTGCCAGAGTAGTGCCCAGCATGGGGAGCTGTGTAAGCTCAAAGGACAGCCCTCCCCCCCCACCAAAAAAACACTTCATTTTTGTAATTACTTTAAAAGGTGTTTTTAATATTTTTTTTACTTTATAACTTTATTATTGGTAAACAGAAATAATCTTGCTAGATTTGTATTAATTTGAGTAATGTATCTATTAATTCTTTTAGATTTATACACTTATCTGCAAATGATGGCAGGTTAGTTTTATTCATGGCTAGGACCTGCTATACAAAGGGAATGATTTCAGTGTTGCATCATTAAATAGTATAGTATTGCTTTTCTCATAGATATCCTTTATGAGGTTAAGGAAGTTTATATCCATGTTTATGGGTGGACCTGGCCTATAATTTTTTTCTCATTCTGTCCTTTTCAGGTTTTGGTATCAAGGTTATATTAACCTTTTTCTATTTGCTGGTAGAATTATAATAGGAATTATTCTTTAAATAATTGATAGAACTTGTTGGTAAAGTAATCTAGTCCTCGAGTTTTGTTTGTAGGAAGTTTTTTTTTTACAACCAATTTAATTTCTTTAATGATTATGATATTCTTCAGGTTTATTATTTCATGAGTCAGTTTTTGCTAGGTTATATTTTTCAAAAAATTTGCCACTATCTAAATTTGAAAAGTTTTTGGTCTGAAGTTTTCAGTAATACCCTCTTCTCTTTTCATTTTCTCTGACATCTGTAGTTATGTCCCCTTTTATTCCTGAATTGTAGCTTCTTTTTCTTTCTTTTTTTTTTCCTTTTCTTTTTTAATCTATCTTGCCAAAGCTTTTGTCCATTTTATCTTTTGGCGTTGTTGATCTTTTCTATCAGACTTTTTTTAGTTCCTTAATTTCTGCTATTTGATTATTATTATTGATAATTGACTCTTTTTGCATATTTTGGGGGTAAGTAGGTAACTAAAGAGATTTAGTTGCATTTCATCATTTTTACTATAAGTAGTTCTTCATATCTTGTTTTTTTTCACATTGATTAGGTCTTTCTTTGGATATTGTCTAAATAAACTTGGCTTAAAGCTAATGTTCACCTCTACACACCCTTTAAATCATGTTAGTTTTAAAATTAGCTATCATTAATATATTTATATATCTTTATATGTTAATTTGCTCCTTTTGGTATAAAAAACAAAGGGGTTCTTTATGGATAATGAATTATGTATTATGTCTAAAATGAATGTGGACTTTTATGTAATATTTTGAGAGAACATGTATTTTTTTAATTCAATTTTGGGTATAAATGTGGAATTTTGGAGGCAGATCTTAACCTATCTGATATTCTGTTTTGATTGGAAAAAGTTTAAGTGCCTTTACTCTGTGTCACTTTAGCCATAGTGATTATTATCAGCAGGTATAATAAACTATATATCTCCTTATTATTTCAACTTTTACCTTAGCTTTTCAATGATCTGTTTAAGAATAATGCAAACCGTGCTGAGAATACAGAAAGAAAGCAAAATCAGAATTATTTTATGGAGATGATCACTGTAGAAGGAGTCTATGATTACCTGATGTACGTAGGTAAGATCTACGTGGTTACTGTTAAAACCTATTTTCACTCATGTATCATATTTCTTCTGTGATGCCAATTAATGCTCTTGAATATTGCCCTGTTGTAACTTTTTTTTAATTGAAGATACTTCTTTTATAAGAATTGAATACAATTGGTCTTGAATATGGTAAAGTTACTAGTGTTTACAAATAAAATATTGACCTTTTGTGTTTTTTATATTGGAAAATGTTCAAAATATCTATTTATCTGAATAATGAAATATCCATGTGATCCTTCTCAGGACGGGTGGTTTTCCAAGTTCCTGACTGGCTTCATCATCTCTTAATGGGAGCTCGAATCCTCTTTAAAAACACCCTGGAAATGTATACTGACTACTATCTTCATTGTAAGCTAGAACAGCTATTTCAGGAGCACCGTCTGGTGTCACTCATAACACTTCTCAGAGGTTTGTATTTTCTCATGTTTTATGTACTCTTAATGATTTTAATCAGATCTAAAAGAGTGAGAAGTCTTGTTTTTCTTTGGTTTATTAGTATTTCTACTATGAGGAAATATTTTGTGTATAATAGGTGAAAATTCCAGCAAATATTTCATTTTATCTCTTTTAGATGCTGTATTCTGTGAAAACTCTGAACCTCGTTCTCTCCAAGATAAGCAAAAACGAGCAAAACAGACCTTTGAAGAAATGATGAATTACATTCCAGGTGTAGTATTTAAGAGGTCGTTTAATATATATTAGCACTCCTTTGAGGTCACAATGTATAATAGTTATTGAGGTTAATTTTTACTGTGAATTTTCATTTTAGAAATAGTTATAAGGACCAATTAAAGTTAACTCATTAGTTAAATAAAATTTGGTTTTTATGATGTTAGCACTAAAAACTTTGACAAGGCTGTTTCTGCTCACACATTAGCCAAATTCTTTCAATGATAACTTACAATCAGACTGTGTTTATGGGACAACTGTAGGCCTGCTGCCCACTGTACCATGAGAAGAGCTTCACTAGTTTGTGTGACTAAAAGATCAGAATTCACTTATTCATTACAAATTGATTGAGCACCTTGTGTGTGCCGGGCAGTATGCAAAGTGCAAGGGATATAAAAAGTGTACTTGGGTAGCTCAGTGTAGCAGGAAGACAGACATACAGATAAAACATACATGTGATAATAGAGGCATGTTCAAGTTATAGAGTATCTCAAAGGAGGAGGATGACCACCTCTCCTGTAAAGGAGGGAGCGTTGGGTCCACTAAGTAAATGAATGGTAGTAACCTCTTACTGAGATGGGAAATACAAGGAAAAAGTGTCAAGAGGTCAAAGCAGAGGATACTTAGTTTGGGACACTTTGAGTGTGAAGGGCCTTTACATTATTCGGGAAGAAATGTCTAGTAAGCAATTAGACATCCAGGTTTGGAAATAGAAGGAACAGTGGTACAGAATAGAGATATGGGAGTCATGTGTGAGTGGATGATAATCCCCAGGGAGAAAATACAGTGTAAGAGTTGAAGAGGGCTTAGGACTGTACCTTAGGGAATTCTCATCGTTGAAAAATTAGTCTTAGAATAGTCTTACTGCTCCCTGTGAAGACAATTAAGTTAAATCCCTGGTCTGAATATAAAGGTGAACCAAAGCTATTTTTGAATAAGTCTTCTGTATGAAAATGATGAAATGATTTCTTACCTGTTTTGTAATATAGGATCCTAAGCATTCATAGTTTCAACAGTCTTAGCTTTGTTCAGGAACAACGTGGAAAGCCAGTGAATGTAATAATTTGTTATTTTGCTGAGGCATGAATTTGAATCCTATCTACTTCAAGACTTCATTTGGGAAGGAGTAATTTAGCTAGTGAGTAAGCTTAGCAGCCTTTCTGTTGTCCTCTACTCCTCGTTTCTTCCTTAGTGTCTCCTGAAGGATCTGAAAGGATCACTTATTTTTGTCCATTATGCTTCACACATATTAATTGGGAAATTCTGAGTAGTATTGGTACATTAGAGGATTCACAAAGATCAATATTGAGCCACATATCTTGAAAATACCAAGGATCGATGAGACTTATTGTAAATTGAATTTGGCCTTTGCCTCTTAGGATTAGATTTACCTCGTAGAAGCAAACATAAAGTGAGAATTTTCCATGAACAGCATTAAGAATTTCATTACGATTGGAGGGAAAGGACAAATATTTGAGTACCTTAAGAGTAATTTTTTTTCCTTCTTGGGGGAAAACATTCAGCAGAGATTTTAATAAGGACTGACTCTTTTTGGTAACAAGAGTGATACATGACAGCTATGCAGTCAAATATGAATCGGAACTTTTTGGACTCTAAATTAACGTTTAAACATTTCCCAAAAGGATTGTTCTGTGAGACGGTTAATAGTAATTATGCAAAAAGTACGGAAGTAAATTCAAGTGGTCATATTCATTGAGGAAAGTCTATGTTAAAAAATTAAGGAAACTTTTTTTTTCTGATATTAAGATATTCAAACATTATGAAAATATATAGAGTAAAAAGTAGAAGCCATCCTCTCCCCACTGTGCAGAAGTAGCCACATGGTCCAGGTTGGTGTTAATCCTCACAGACTTTTTTTTATGCATTTCTATACATGTATGTACAAATGTACATATGTAATTTTAGGGTTTTATTTTGTTTTACCCAAATGGGATAATACAATATGTATTATTTCCCAACTGTCTTTGATCACTTCATAGTGTAAGCAGATTCCTTTACTGCAGCATTCCTCAGATCTTGCAGAATGCTTTGTACATCATGAATCTCCAAAAGGAGGATACGATACTGCATTTCTCAACGTGACCACAGAACTCTTTTTTCCAGGAGCCTCTTACAGACGCACTGGTTTAGGAAATGCTGATTTATGGTTTTTGCATAATATCTGGAAAACAGGATGGAGATTTTGCTTTATGATCCAGTTAATGATGAGTTATTTTATAATATAAAAATGTTTCACATGTGGCTTTCTTTTTTAGATCTGATAGTCAAGTGTATTGGTGAAGAAGCCAAGTATGAAAGCATCAGACTTCTGTTTGATGGCTTGCAGCAACCAGTTCTCAACAAGCAGGTAAAATTCATTAAAGCAGGTTGACTGGTGTTCGCTAGATTTGGTGAATGACACCAAACCTATACATAGGTCATACATATACTATACACCAAGTCTATACATATTCTGTTGTGATCTTAATACAGTTACAATTTTGTATCCTGCTAAAGTTCTTTGTTACATATAAAATATTTAATATAAAGTGAATTATGAGGCATAATAATAAAATGTCTATGTGTGATGCTATTGAAGCTACTTTTGTGTTTGTTTCATATTGTCAGTTCTATTCCCTGCCTTCCTGTTTAGAGGTAACCACAGTCCTGAATTGTGTTTATCATTTTTATGGTTTTTTTGTATAATATCTTAAAACAAATTTTTTTTTTTTTGGTGCTTTAGCTGACTTATGTTTTATTGGACATTGTGATACAAGAACTGTTTCCAGAGCTCAATAAGGTAACTGAAAAGCAGCAATTTTATTCTTTATGTTTTTAATGGTATGCTGATGCTTATTTTAATTAGGGACACAAAAATTAAGGAAACCCTTGTGACTGTGATCCTTTTAAAAATGAATAACCTTAACAAATGGCTCTTTATATTTTCTTTATTCAACTTGCTCAAACATAGAGTGGATTTTGAGGGGCAGGAACTGAGTAGCCTCTGCCTTGATTTCAGCCCTTCCCAATTATAAGCAGGCAGGGACGTTATACCCTGTAGTCTTTCCAGAGAAAGATATGGTTTAAGTCCTAGCACTAGAACGGGCCAGGCTCTTCATGCTGTCATCTGGAGCACTGAGGGCTCTGTAAGTCAGGCTGGAGTAGTTTTGAAGCAGTTAAACTTATGTGAACCCAAGTGTACAAAATGAATTGGAATTGGAGGATGGTAATACTATTATTATATTGAGTCTTGAGGATTTTGAGTTTTGAGCAAAGATTTAAGTCATTTTTAACTCTTTATATTTTGGTCAGATGAAATAACTACTCCATAAGGTTGTGGTATAGCAATGAAATGTTAGTTTCATAGAGTAGAGAAAACCAGATTTGGACTATTTACCTATTAATTATAACCTTTCAAGTGATAATAACATTAAAATGTATATTAAAACAAAGGGGCAGTTATGGACATTTTATGTTCAAGTTTCATGGGAATCAGTACTAGGAAACCTTTAGCTCTCTATTGGAGACTTTATAACATCTGTATACCTTGCCATTTTTCTCATCTCTAAAATGTAAATATTATCTATGGCATATGCCAGCTAATTTCTTTTGTTTATATATATATATCTTAGGTCAGAATTTTAATACACTGGAACTGTTAGGCAATTCACAAGTGAACCTTATTTTATTGTCTTCTATTAAATAGATTAATTTATATTTTTTTTTTGGTGAGGAAGATTGGCCCTGAGCTAACATCTGTTGCAAATCTTCCTCTTTTTGCTTGAGGAAGATTGTCCCTGAGCTCATATCTGTGCCAGTCTTCCTCTGTTTTGTATGTGGGACACTGCCAGAGCATGGTGTGATGAGTGGTGCGTAGGTCTGCGCCCGGGATCCAAACCTGTGAACCCCAGGCCGCTGAAGCGGAGTGCATAAACTTAACCACTACGCCACGGGGCTGGCGCCTAAATAGTTTTATTTTTACTTTAGGTACAAAAGGAAGTTACCTCTGTGACGTCTTGGATGTAAACATTTGGATTTGGGATAGAATAACCAGTTGAAATTTCTGCTGTGCTAGTGTAGTAGATAAGTACTTTTTTTTCTTTTACTTTTGTATATTCTTGTATATATCATGTAATTCAGTGTGTGAAATTATGATTTTTTTTGTTTTAATAAAGACTAACATACTTAATAATGACTAAAATTGATTGAGTTTCATAGCCTTTCATTTTATACCTGTTATCCAGATTTTATTAGAACATACATAACTTGTTATTGCTGTTTTTTATAGGGATAATTCATAATTCCCTTAGAGCAAACAGATAAGATCAATAACCTTTGTATTGTAATCACTTTGAAAGTAATTATGTTTGGTGTGGAAAAACAGGCGTAAGATCTGATTCGCTTTCTTATTTAGAGTTAGTACATGTTGTTAGATTTTTTTCCCCTGTTTAAAAATTGTCTATGTAGTTAACTGTCTATAAAGAAGACTTTTTTTTATGAGTTTTTAATAACAAACAAAGGCCTTCTCCTTACTCTTACTGGATGATTGATAGGTTATAGCCGTTTTGGGTGTGAAAACTGAGTACATACAGATGTTTGTGATTGTGTGATTGCAACGACATTTCACTGAATCTGTGTAACTATATTCTAAAAGCTTATATAAACGATTTAGTCAAGTAGATTTTTGGTTTATGTTGTTTGTTGTCTCTCCAAAAGAAAAATATGGGATTAACTGTATTCCTTGAGGAAAGTTATTTAAATGATTATTTTTAAAGATTCAGTGTTTAGCATTCTACTTATAATTCCTTCCCATGCTATACGTTTCTCCTTGAAACAAATTTGTCTTTCAAAATTGAGCATTTTGTGTTTGGTTATTGGTTGTAGCATTCATTCAGAATATATTTATTGAGTTTCAACTATGTATTAGGCACTAACCTGGGTAATGTGGGAAGTCTAAAATATAATTTGGAAAACTAACCCATTTAATGATACCATTTCACTTATTTTTTCCAAGGTCTTTAAAAATGGTCATTAGGTGTTGCAAATTTTTTAAAAGATTTTGTCAGTAGTTCCATTATGTTTTTAATAGCTTGAAAATTCTAGAATATCTATGAGTTTCTGTGAACCAATGCTTTAATACTAAGCCTTAAACATTGACTAATTTCTCAAGGACAGGTAGAAAATTAATCAGTCTAACTCTTCCCATTTAAATCCATAGCATTTTGAACACTATTATTTAAAATGTCATGGTGAACTTGGAAAATAAAATATTTTATAGCCCTTTTTATGCCATCCTCACCTATTTCTGTATGAATTGTGATATTCTGTTTATTCAGATGAGAAAAAAGTTGTTATGAGTGTATCAGTCTGCTTGGGATTCCATAACAAAATACCATAGACTGGGTGGTTTAAACAACAGAAATTTATTTCTCACAATTCTGGAGGCTGGGAAGTCCAAGATCAAGGTGCTGACAAGGTAGGTTTCATTCTGAGGCCTCTTCCTTTGGCTTGCAGACAGACAGCTTGCCTTCTCACTGTGTGCTCACATGACCTCTTTGCGTGAGTGTGTGGGAGGAGAGAGAAAAAACAATCTCTCTCTCTCTCTCTTCTTCTTTTAAGGCCACCAGTCTTTTTGGATTAGGGGCCACTCTGATGACTTCATTTAACTTTAATTACCTCCTAAAGGCCCTTCTCCAAATACAGTCACATTGGGGTTTAAGGTGTCAACATGTGAAGGAGGACACAGTTCAATCCATAGCAGTGGGTAAGCTCTGTTTAAGGGAAATGTGATGTGTAAAAATCTACACGTACAAAATTAATCATTTACATTATAAAAGGGAAAGGAACTAGATGCAATCTCTATTGACCAGGCATTTTATATACATTATCACATTTCATCATCCATCACAGTAACTGTGAGATGGTATTATTCCTATTTTATAGGTGAGGATATGGAAGCCAGAGAGCGTCGTGAAGTTAGAATTCAAACTTAGATCTGTCTCTAGTCTTCGTGTTCTTGTCACTGTTTCCTCATGGAAGGAGCTTTTATTTCTAAAAGTAGTCACTCTCTGGATCCCTTTCAAAAGTATGTTCCCCTGGTGTATTTCAAATATTTCACTTTGTACACTCCTTTCTCTCCATCTTTATGTGTGTCCTCTAATGCGTAACCTTCACATTTTGAAATGTGTTTATAGAAAAAACTATCAATGTTTCTGGTTGTGGGCATAAAATGAAAGTAGATAGTTAGGAAGGCACTTTGAAATTTATCAAGGACATTATAAGATTGTGTTATAATCATTTAGTTAAAGATATCAGAAGATTCTGAGAAATGGTTGATAGCAAGCACTTAAATTATCATTTATTGACTTACTAAAACATTATATTTTACAATAGAAATATAAACAGAAGTCTAATTTGCCAATGTTCTTTGTAACAGACTTTTGTGATATTCTGTTTATTTAGATGAGAAAAAAGTTGTTATGAATGTATCAGTCTACTTGGGCTGCCATAACAAAATACCATAGACTGAGTGGTATGTTTTTTTTTTTTTTTTTTGGTGAGGAAGACCAGCACCGAGCTAACATCCGATGCCAATCCTCTTTTTTGCTGAGGAAGATTGGCCCTGGGCAAACATCCATGCCCATCTTTCTCTACTTTATATGGGATGCCGCACAGCATGGCTTAACAAGCGGTGCGTCAGTGCGTGCCCCGGATCCGAACCGACGGACCCAGGGCCGCTGCAGCAGAGCGCGTGCACTTAACCGCCTGCACCACTGGGCAGGTCCCTAGACTGGGTGGTTTAAACAACAGCAATTTATTTCTCACATAACTTTGTAATGATATATACACAAGTTCTAGTTTCAGATATAGTCAGTATTAGAATAAAAATGACTGACTGAATGAATGAGCAAATGAACAGATCTTGCTAGTCCACTATATTTCAATTTCAAAGAGTATGCTCTCTGTTATTATCCAGTAATCTCTTCAACTGTGCTAGAAACACAGAGGAGAAGTCTTTAACCTGAGGCCTATGGGCCCCTAGAAGATTGTTAAATCCAGTGAAAAATAGTTTTTTATTTCACGATTTTTTGTTAATTTGACATTTATGATTGTTTTCTATCAAATTATATTAAAGAATTAGTTCATTCCAGGTAATGGATGTGGCTGTATTCCAATAAAACCTTGTTTACAAAAAGCAGTGGCAGGCAGGATTTGGCTCTCAGGCTGTAGTTTGCTAATCCCTGATGCAGAAGAACAAAAGCGGGGAGGGAAAAGGGACACCATTCGATAAATGGTGATCACCTTCCCATTAGGGAGCAGGGAGAGGAGACCACAAATTTAGTCTTTGGAGAAAGGCGGCTGTCCTTCTTGGGGAAGACTTACTTGGCCTTTTGGTTGCAGAGGGGTTAGAATAACGAAGAGTCAAACTGTTCTGCATAATGAAAAGGATATTTTCTTTAGGTAGAGAAATGGTTTTCTTACTTGATTATTTTCTCTGGAGGGATGATGCTGGAGAAAAGGGCTTTGTGGCTTTGGACTGAGTGAGGAGGGTGGCAGAGAGGTACAAGAGAAGGAATTATGCCTGATTTATTCAGTTTATTCGACAAGTGTGTATTGAACACTCACTATGTGCCAGGCAGTTTTAGATGGTAGGGATATATTTGTGCATTTATAAGCCTACATTCAAGCTCAGAGACATAGACAATAAAGAAAATAAATAAGGAAATAGTATAGTATGTTAGAAACTAATAAGTGCTCAGAAGAAAAATAAACTCGGGGGAAATAGAGTGGTGTGAATGGAGGGTTGCAGTTTTAAATAATGTGGTCTGGGACGTTGAAGAAAAGACCCGCAGGAGGGGAGAAATCAGGCTGTGCATGTATTTGGGGGCCCACGTCCCAATAGAGAAATAGCAAGTACAAAGGTTTGAGTGGGAATGTGCCCATCTCATGGGGAGAACAGCAAGGAGGTCAGTGTGGCTACAGCATGGGGAGTGAGGGAGATAATGTCAGAGCAGTCATGGGAAACCAGATCACAAAGAGCCCTGTCGGCCATGGTGATAACTGTCACTTTTACTTGGAGTATGATGGAAAGATTTTGAGCAGGTGATCAACATGCTCTTGCTTATAGTATCAAACTGGTATTACTATCACAATGGTTGCTATATTGAGAATGTTGAGAACGGACTAAAGTGGAGCAAAAGTAGAGACAAGGAGCTCATTTAGGAAGCTGTTGAAGGAATTCAGGTGAAATGACAGTGATTTGAATCAGAGTAATACTTGTGGAGTTGTCAGGAAGTTGAAGACTTTTTCTTTTTAAGTTAGGCAAACAAGATTTACCAATGGACAGGTTGTAAGTCTGAGAAAAAGGGAGCAGCCAAGGATGACCTCAAGGTTCGGCCTGAGTGATAGGAAGGTTGAAGGGTCCATTAAATGAGATTTTGACCAGCACATGTTTTGAGGGAAAGATCAGGAATTCATTTTTGGACATGTAAAGTTTGTGATGCCTATTAACCATCCCAACTAGAGATGCTAAGTAGGCAGTTGTAGTTAATGAGTCTGGAGTTCAGGGGAGAGATCCAGGCTGGAGATAGAAATTTGTGAGTCACCAGCATCCAGATGCAAAGTAATGAAACTGGGGATGAGACCGTCAAGAGATTAAATGTAAATAGAAAAGAGAGGCAGTCCAAGGACTGTGCCCTGGGCTCTCCAGAGCTTAACAGGAAGGGAGCTGAGGAGGGACCCCAAAGGGGACTTCATGTGATGGGTTTGGCCAGTGCTTTTCAGGAGCATTGATATCACACATTGGGTTATAAGTTTTCTTTTTCATTGTAAGTCCCTCCAATTGATGCCCACTTAGTAAAGCTTTGTTTTTACACTACAACTTCATGCTAGCTGCTCTTGGGAGTGAAGGGAGTACTGTATCCATATTTTGGGACAATGGAAAGTGCAGAAAACTAGTACAGCATGGAGAGTGATAATGAGGTTACTTAAAGAAATTTCGGAAAAGCCTTGAGCAGTGTAGAGCAATATGCAGCAACTGGGACATGTAAGCAACTCCCAAGAACTCTTATAAATAGGGAGGGCGCTGCCTAGTTATTTTATTTGGAGACTTAATTTTTAAAAAGTGGCTCAAAAGTCTGAAAAAATGGGTGACATTGAAATTTCTTTGTAAGGAAATGTGTTTTAGGTAATTTTCTAAAGTTTTTAAGATCCATTTTAGTGGTATAAGAATGAAAACTGCATAATTTTGCCTGAGGGAGTTTACCCGTTTACTTACTGTCTACAGTGTTCTTCCTATTTAACTCCTCTCCCTCCTCACCTCCACACACACACGTGCTCAGGGAAACTTGAAATTTTCTCCTAGTTTGGGCTGGTTTAAGCTTTTGATTGTGACAGAACTCAACTTTGCTTTAAAAAAAGAAGAGAGAAATAACGTATTTGTTCATGTAAACCAACTCTGGAAGGGCAGTAATGGAACTGTCCTCAGTGTGACGTACCCAGCACTTCAATA